CCCCAAAACCCCAAAACCCCAAAACCCCAAAACCCCAAAACCCCAAAACCCCAAAACCCCATTTAGAAGGAATTTAGAAAAACTAGGTATGTTCATAAATAAGATTACTACAATCCTTTATTATAATAGAGCTCATTGATATCATTTCCCTTGGTATCTTTCAGTCCTTGGAATTCAGACTCAAGGGAAGAGACTCCGGTCCGTGCAGTTTGCTCGAAAACTCCACAAGCAAGTGGAGGACCTAATGAGAGGTATGCAAAGAAGATTGTAGCATCTCATACAGCCTTAACATACTTGTTCTTTGGGACCAAATTTCTCTTCTCCATGTAGTAAAAAGTAATGGTTGGAAGCAGGAGAGGAGGAATTGGCATCAATAATCTGGTCATAGCGGTACTGGTCACAGCTTTCCATCCTATTGTCTTGCTTTTGCCTCTTTCGTTTCCTTCAGAATCAACGAGAGTTATTCCTTCACGAATTTCTTTAGATCTCATAATTAGTAGATTTAAAGAACCGGCTGATCCAACTGCAGTAAGGCTGATGAAAAAGTTGATGAAGAGCTTGCTTGGTCCTTTGAGGCTACTTGCGATCGGGGAGAGAAGCTGTCTCATTCCAAGTCCAATTCCTACCGAGGTTGTGGCAGCAGCACTATAAGCCATCAAAAGTCCCTTGTTGTCAAGGCTACTGGAGGCATTTCTGTTCGCATAGTTCACTCCGGCTGAATAAGTCTGATTGGCCCATTGCCAAAATATTATATTGAAAGGAGTTGGCTTTGAAAGAAGCAATCCGAACTGGACTGGTATGGACATTGCAGCATATGAACAAAGTCTCATAGGTCTAGGGATGAGCTCACCCGTATCTGGGTGGTATGAGGAAGCAACTATGTTCTTAGCTCTATGGATCTTCTTAATCTCAGCTTGGGTCCGTTCTGTGGCTATAAATCCCTTCTCCCTGTTCTCATTTAGCTCGTCTACAAGATGCTTTGCTTCGATGCACGTCTTGTTTGAGAGGAAGAAGTTGAAGGAGTTTTGACTGCTGAATAAGGTCCGTACTCTACCCCAATAGCTACTTTGATCATACTGTGGTGCAGTATGGTCAAATAATGTAGTTTGCTCATCCTTTAAAGTTTCCATTAGGGTTTAGAAGAATAATATTATTTAATTATAAAAATTATTACTTAAATTGTATTGGTTCAACCAATGGTTAGCAAAGGGGTTTTGGGGTTTTGGGGTTTTGGGGTTTTGGGGTTTTGGGGTTTTGGGG